TGATTTATTCGTATGGAATCCAACATTAAAAAAATGCAAAGTAAATCGAAAAAATAAAGTTTATTTTAGATTTTTTATTTTTTGATTAGGTTGTTGAAGTTAAAAGTCATAATGATCGACTTTCATATCATCAAATAGTTTGGCTTAATAAATTAGTTGAATTTAAAATTGATTGTGAAGTATGTAAAGTTAGTGGTAAGTTTAATTTTATATAAAAATATTTTCAATATGAAAAGTTTTTTTTTTAATGTTTTAGCCATAGGTTCAAAAAAATCATTACAACGGACTCCATCAACGATTGAATTAGATTAAAGTTTCTTCTCTTCTTTTTTTTTGTTATTAAAATAAATAAAAATTTCATTCTTAAATGTCAAAAACAAAAAGTTCTATTTGAAAAAAAAATATTTTTACGATTTTAGAAAGAAAAAATGTTTGCAAATGATGATGATGATGATTATAATAATGAAAGTTATGATGATGATCAACCGCAAGGTTACCAAGCATTATTAGATCCAGATGATGAAGAGTAAAAACAAAACTATTTATAAATTGTATTTAACAAAGAAAAATTCTTTTCATATGTTTCAGAACTTTCACCATGGAAGACGAGGAAGATGATAATCATGAAGAAGAAATAGAGCCTGCTGAAGAAGAGGAAGAAGAAGAAGTGCTTCTTGATGACGGTCAAATCAAACCATTTTCTTGTAAATTATGTTCTGTATCCTTCAGTAAATTCGAAGCATATCGTGAACATTTTGTATCGACTGAACATCGATATAAACGACGAGATGAAAAGAAACGTCTTGGAGTTTGTTATTGATTTTATATATATATAAATAATATTTTCTATTTTATTTTAAGGAAGGATATGTCATTGAAACATTACCGGTTGAAATATTTGTTAATTTATTACTTTACAATAAAGTAAAAAATAATAATAAATATTTAAAGAAAAAAAAAACTCATTAAAAAATTCTTTAGATACCATTTGAAAGTATTCAAATTGATATTCAACCTGTTGATTTCAGTGTAAGTGGTACATTAGAATATAATAATATTAAATATGAATATCAACATGCGTCATCACTTAATGATTTATATCAATTACTTGTTAATAAATTTAATCAAGATTATGAAAAACATCAATTGAAAATGCCACCGCAAAGTTTTTTTGTTGCACGAGGTAAAATAAGATTATACGATAAAATCATTAAACATATATTTTGACAATTTCTAGATACTAGCCGAAAAGAAATAGATATTATATGGACTGTATCACGTTATTGTGATGATACACGAAAATCTGATGAGCAAATTATTAAAGTAAGAAGAAAAAAAAATGTTATATATATTTTTTTTGTTTATTCACTGAAATTACATAGTATATGATTTTTGGACTTTGATGAATTAGAATATAGTTCGATCTATGTTCAGCCGTAAACAAAAGTAATTGCCCCCTTTGAAGTACTAGTACTCATTGGTTAGAATAAGTCGTCTTCAAAATTTTCGAACTCATATCTGACGGGCTCTACCATCGGTTTACATGTGCACAATTTATAATTCATACATCGTCTTTTCCTTGTGAAAAATCTATTTAACGGAAATATGTAATAAAAACGTATTTGTTTATCATTTTGCTACTCTACAAGCTACCATCGTGTTCTTCTAGCTATAAAGATAAGTCCATATATTCAGTTTATGGTCACCAAAGCTCGCTTATTTTCAGAAGAAATTTTTCCGAGTCTGTAAATTCAAGAGAATTTGTCCGATTTTCGATGACTTTCGCATTCACTGGGTTGTTAACAATCAGAATCGGCAAAAAAAAACCAACATGATATAATAAAGACTATATAACGTTTTTTTTCCCAATTATTCAATAACAGTGAACTTGTACATTTCAGTCATCCAAGATTGTTTTGAACAGTGGGTACAAATATAATTATTCGAAATGAAGCTTTAAGGATCGTTTAATATAATCATAAAAGCCTCATATCAATCGGTTTACCCGTTAAAGAAATATTCACATTTGTTTTTCGTTCGGACTTTTGAAACATTATGTACATGTGTTCTTAATTCCATCAATATCGAAACTTTTTTTTTTTAGGAAGTCTTAGATTATTGTGTGTACACAAATGTTGAACCAGAACGTGAACGTTTAATATCACAATCAATTCAAACATGGCGTATGTTTCATCGTCAAGAAACTAAAGCAGGCTTTTGGTTAGTACTCGAAAGTGAATTTCTTGTTTGTTAAAACATTTATTTTCAAGGTGTGATATTTGTAAACAATGTTTTCGTAAACGAAAAGCAATTATTTGTGTAAGTAAATTATAGTAAAAAAAACTCTTGTTTTTTAATAAAGTTTTGTTTTGTTTTGTTTTCTTTTTGTAAAAAAGCATTTTGAATCAAGTGAAAAACATGAAAATAATTTAAAACATCTTCCACCATATCGACGAGCTGTTCAACATGTAAATCTTAGACGAAATTTTATTTCAATTTAATAGTTCTGTTTTTCTTTTTATTTCTTAGAGTTTATTTACTGGTCGTTTATTAAATGAATTTATTCCAATTGATAAATTGAATTATTATCGAACACGAGTTAATGCTTATCGAATTCCACCATCAAATAGAACTATTAAAAATGCATATTATTGCACATTTTGTAAAAAATCATTTGAATCAGCACATACACTTGAAAAAGTACTAAATTAAATCAATTAATAAAAACAGAAGATTTAACATTCTTATTTAGCATCTTGGTTGGAAAGGTCATCGAGATATATTACGAAAACGTCGACAAAATGAACTTGATAATTTACCACGTCTTGTTGTAAATATATATCAAAACGATTATTTTATATTTTGTCATTGAATCTTCGCTTTGATTTTGGATTTTTATAGACTTATTTAAATTTCAATCAATTAACGCATGAACAACGTAATGGTGGTATTCAACAAATGGCTAAAACACCAGATGAATATCGATTAAAATATAATCTTGAACCTGTAACAATTGAAAGTATTCAAAATGATACTATGCGTTTTGATACACAACTTGCACAACAAGTTATGCACAATATTCATAATCAACCAGGAAATAATAATAATAATAATAATAATAATAATCGATTTAATCATGGTAATAGTAGAGGTCGAGGACGTGGACGTGGAAGACAATCATTTCGCGGTCAAACATTTCGAGTACGACCCAATTTTCATCAGCAAAATACACAAAATTTCAATTCAGGTAGCTGAAAATATTTCAAGAAAAATATAAAAGTCATTGACAGATTTGGTGACGTATTTGAAACCAAAATGTCATACTTGTGGTTTTGTAGAGCGAATTACGTCGCATCAAATCGTATATAAGAAATCGAGTTGTATAAAAATTTTAATGTGCTAAAAGTCAATATACTGGTTGTAATGCTTGGAGAATATCAGAGGGTACTCATTAATATTGTAATCCATAGGATACTCTGAGGAATAGGATTGCAGGAAGAATATATGCTATTTTTATTATTGCTTTTTTAAACTTTATTTCGACTATCTAGATTTGAGTTTTGCATGAAACTCTATAAGAGTCTATAAATATTTCATGTTCATTTCAAAAATAAAATTTTCTATATCTCCTTACTCCTCTCCAGGGAGCTGGAGGTTGAAAATTTTTTCTGTTTATAAAGTAGTTATTTATATCAGTTCACCAGAGGTGCTATGCTGATTATTGGTACAGAAAAAAGAAATTTTAATCGAAATGATTGAGTATTGTTCAAATATCATCAACATATTGGCTTCTTCGTATGGCACAACAGACTATTCCAGAACACAATTAGTTGCTGCTACCCGAAAGATGTTTGTGTGAAACATGAAGAGCTCGATAATCTATAAGTTTTGAGAAAGTTTCATGCTGGTACTCACCTGTTCTGCGTCATAGTGTTGTACGCAAACGAATATCATATAGTCAAGAGATCATCTAGACGAATGAAAAGAAATCATCTTCAAGTATGAAGAGAGCAACAATCACAACTATTGATCCAAATAGAGTTGGAAAAAAGGTTCGCACAGGTCTCTCGAGTTGGTGTATCGTAATTCGCTTTACAAAATCATATTTATAACATTCTGAGTCAACATAGACCACAAAATCCATTAGAACCTTTTTGAAAATTTCGAACTGTTTTTTTTTCTATTTTTAGAACAATATAATCATCCAACAAATTATCAACCTCGATTATTCCATAATAATAATAATCCTACAAATCAATTCTATCCACAAAATAATTTTCATCTACCAACAACATTTCGTCCACGTAATTTTAACTTTTAATCATAGTAATTCAATTCATTTGATTCATATTTTTTAGAAAATCCAAATTTCAACAATAGTAATAATAAACGTCCTTATCAACAAAATAATAATCATAATAATTATTACAATCAACGGCAATCATGGCCAAATAAAAAGCCTCGTTTTGATCGACCATCACCATATCAGCAGCCAGCATCATCCAATCGAATTGATTATCGTTATATCGCTAATCAAAATACTTATCAACAACAACAACAACAACATTTTCATTGATATTGTTTGTTGTTAAGTATTCAGTAGTTTTGTCTTTAGAACAAAGGCCATATGTTATTTGGCTTCTTTATTGTTATACCATAGATTTATTGTTATTAATGCCGATTATTATTAATAAAACAAATAAACGAGCTTAAAATTTTTCATTTATATATTCTTGCCATTAGTTTTGTTCATTTAAAGGGTATCCCCGAAAATTTTTTCGTATCAGAGATGTGTATCGTGGTCATTACATCCTCGTCTCTCGTCTTATTTGTCCGTTGCACGACTGCGACTTAATAAGCATACGAACGATTTATTCCTAAGATTAGTCTAGCATAAATTTAAGTGAGAGCTATTTATTTCAAAAAGCAAATCTTTGATATCAAGAAAAACAAAAAAAAACTCAAACAAAATATTAAAATAGATTTTAGCAGTTTTTGTTTTATAAACTATCATCATCATGTCCATGTGAAGAATGTGGTGGAACATCACCAGCATCACCGGCACCACTACCTTGTCCATATAATTTTGTCATAATTGGTGTTACAACTTCTTCAAGTTGTTTTTTATGTTCTTTTAATTCATCAACTTCAGCCATTGGATTTGATTCAAGCCATTTGATTTGTTCTTCAACTGCTGATTCAATTGATGTTTTATCAGAATCAGAAAGTTTTCCACCAAGTTTTTCTTTATCACTTAATTGAGTTTTCAATGAATAAGCATATCTACACANTTGTCATTCTTTCCAAAGAAAAACTCAACATACAATTGAAATAGTAGAGAATTTTTAATCATTATTTCTATCTAAATAAGAATAACAGTTAATCATCGATAAGATTCTTTTCGAGCAGAATATATTTTATTTTTAAATATTCAAGTATGATATTCCTTGCTTTGTTTTTTGTCAAATTGAATATTTTCGTATATTTTACTAGTTGTTCGACAATCTCATCTATTGTTGAATATTTGTCTGTATTATCATAAAGACATATTATAGAAAAATAAATGTTAATGAGTTTTTTTTTTTTCAATAGTTGATTGAACTTTGTTTTCAAGAACAATACTATAGATAAATGTACTTAGATCTAACCAAGAGTTCTGAGATCTTTAAATAAAAAGATAAAGATAAGGAGATATTTTTAATTTTATTTTATGAAATGTTGAGAATAGTTGCCATGATTATTTATATGAAGTTCAATTCTTTCTAACAATTTATTCAAAGTTTTTTGAACACTTTTTCGAAAAAAATTTTAGCTACTTTGGATACCACATGAGCTAATCATATTTGATTTGTTTTAAAATTTTACCGAAGTTCTGTTAGATATTGTCACTTGCGTTCTAGTAGTACTAGTGATGAAGTATAGATTTATTCTATATAGGTTAATCATAAGTCAACTGATTCTAGTTGGCTTATTGAGGATGAATCGTCAAAAACTATTGTTCATGGAGATAGATTTGAACATAAACTTTGTTTGATATATGCTTTAAATCAAATAGCCCTGAGTGTAGATAAAGGCATGACAGTATGTTATAAGTATTATATGGAAATTTGTCTGAAGCCTTTTATAAATGTAATTTGAAGAAAAAAAGAGGTATAAAGTGCAAAATGTACAAAACTGCTTAAGGACCATCGTTGACTTCATATTCACCCAATGTTATTAATTATTTGACAGGAAAAGACATCAATATAACACCGCAGCAGTCATATTCGCCGTACCTAATACTACCTAATCTTTGATTAAGTAGCTCTCTCGAAGGGAGTTTAATTAATTAACTAAATGAAATATTATGTACTCATACAATATCCACGGTAGCTAAAATTTTCTTCAAAAAAAGATTTCAAAAAAAAACTTTTAATAAATTGTTAGAAAGAACTAAAGTTGATATAAATAATCATGGCAACTATCCTCAATATTTGATAAAATAAAATTAAAAATATCTCCTTATCTTTATATTTTTATTTAAAGATCTCAGAAGTTTTGGTGAGACCTAAGTATATAATAAATCATAAACATAAGAAAATTAACATAGAAAAAGAAAAAAAAAAACATATGTTAACATATGAGAGCTTTACATCAGACAAAATAAATTGAAACGTATCTCAGAAAAATT